TGGCCTGCGGTGTAGATGTTTGTATTTTTAGTGGGGGACTTTTAGTGGGTGGGGAGTGTTTGGGGAATTTTATGTGTGTGCATGTGTCTGGTCTCTGGGTGTCTGTGAATTTCGTTGTATGGGTATACTGTGTATATACTTACAATGACAATAAATTATTATTAATTTATGTTGCCTTTGTGATGGCTTTTGGGCTACCAGGATCCATCTGCCTGTTCTCGGCTAAACATCATAGGGCAGGTCGCATAGGGCCTCAGTCACATCCTGTGGGGATTAGTGATGAATTTCACCTCTTACGTGGTCTGGTTTCTTTGTTTTTCAGCCCTGAAGAGTCTAGGAGACTCAGAGGAGAATATGTTATCAATGCCTCTCTTGACAATCCGGTAATGACCTAAAGTCTTTTCCCACCTGAAAGATCCACCTGATTTCCTCCCCCCCCCACTTTGCATCCAACCCCTGGGGGGGAAGGGGAGGGCCGACCCCTTGATCACACCGTGGGGTGCGGGACTGACACCTTCTTTAACCTTTATTTCATTTCATTTTCAGGATTACAGTGACAGTGACAGTGAGAAGGCCTCTGACCACCGTTGGATGTTTTCCTTGCTGTGGGAAGGAAGGAAGGGGCGGAGAAGTGCTTTCCGGGTTCGGCGACTGGGGCTGCCAATTTATTTATTTTATAGAGATTTCTGATGTGTGGCCAAATTCAGTTCAGGTTCATATTGATTTTTTTTTCTCCATGAAGGAGATAGAAAGTGAAGCAGAGGAATTCTTGAAGGAGGTACAGAAACATCTGCAGGGCTTGGTTGCCGAGGAGGAAGATTCCAGTCTCTCCCCACCTTTGGCTGAAGCACACTGTTTATAACCCCGTCTCCTTCACCATGTTGCAAAAAAAGCCCAGCCAGCATCTGAGGATCCCAAGTGGCCATGGAAGGAGACGCTGGCTCATGCGTAGAGAAGGGGTGGCGAGCCAGAACGAGGGGTCGGGGTGAGGGGGTCTGGGAAGTAGGACCTGGGGCTCTAACATGGGGATTCTAACATTGGATTCTCTCCTGCATGACTTGAGGATTTAGGCAAGGGTAGTTGCGTTCTGGAAGCCCTTGCTCCAACGTGATTATGGTGCAAGAAGAGCATAGAATCTATATAAAATATTGCGTAGAGTTCCACTTGATCCTGTGTTTTAATTTCGGGGGGGGGGGGGATTTCTCATGATACCAATGT